TCCTTCGATCCTTCGATCCTTCGATCCTTCGTTCCTTCGTTCCTTCGATCCTTCGATCCTTCGATCCTTCGATCCTTCGATCCTTCGATCCTTCGTTCCTTCGTTCCTTCGATCCTTCGATCCTTCGATCCTTCGATCCTTCGATCCTTCGATCCTTCGTTCCTTCGATCCTCCGATCCTCCGATCCTCCGATCCTCCGATCCTCCGATCCTCCGATCCTCCGATCCTCCGTTCCTCCGTTCCATCGTTCCTCCGTTCCATCGTTCCTCCGATCCTCCGTTCCTTCGATCCTCCGTTCCTCCGATCCTCCGTTCCTTCGATCCTCCGTTCCTCCGTTCCTTCGATCCTCCGATCCTTCGTTCCTCCGATCCTCCGATCCTCCGATCCTCCGATCCTCCGTTCCTCCGATCCTTCGTTCCTTCGATCCTCCGATCCGAGTGCCCACCCTCCCTTTCCCACTCCTGCCGTATTTCCCTCTTCTCATTCGCCCCTTCTCTCCTCACTTACATCCCCCTCCCCTCTTACTCTCCTTAATTTCTTTGTTCTCTCTTTCTCCCCCTTCTTTTCCCCTCGTGTTTTTCCTTCTTCTCTCATTCCACCCCTCCACCTTTCCCTCTTTTCCAACATTCCCCTCCCTTTTCCTGTTCCTCCCCTCCTCCCACCATTAACACACACACACACTTTAATTCAGAATATTTATTTGTCTTGCTTTTTTTTTTTAGGGGGGAAGTAGTGATGGTAGCTGAACTGGTAGAAGTGGTGAACAGCATTTTGGTAGGCAAAATTCCAGTGGACTGCAGTGAAATTAAGCTGGATCAACTTACTGCCAAACTGTGGGTCCTTTCACCTGTAAAATTACAGCTCGCCCAAGCTGCCCTTCGTCTTTCACGTCAATGCTCGGCCCTTTTCTGTGCCTTAGTCATTTCTATTGACTGAGAACAGCAGGTGTTCATCTTCTACTGAGACTGTCACCCCACAAACTCTGAAATACACCTTAACTTGACTTCTGGTTTCATCTTGGACTGAGTTATTTTCTTTTTAGTGCTGGCTCTAGAGAAATATGCTGTTTATATAAGGCTCCCACGGTTTAGTTGTTGCTGAGCTGTGTGAGGAATACCACAGAGTCACCTTTGGATGATTCAAAGGTTAAATTACTCTGGCTGTTAAGTTGCTTTCTAAATACTCCCAAAAACATATGCTTTCCCATTCCGTCCTTTCTTGCTGCTGCAGATGTGGTATGAAAATGAAATGCCACCCGTCTTCTGGATTTCAGGATTCTTCCTCACGCAAGCGTTCTTAACTGGTGCCCAACAGAGCTATGCCAGAAAGTACACTATTCCAATAGACCTGTAAGCATTTGACTATGAAGTGCTGGAAGGTAAGGAATATCACCTTGCTCCAGACGATGGTACGTAAACCGAGCATAAGTTAGCATTACTTCAAAGACTCAAGCGTTCAGCAGTTCAGTTACTGAGTGTAATTAAGTAGCAATACAACATCCAGAAAGGTGCTGTTCCCCCACCAAGCACACAAAATACGCAAGAAGCTACATAAAATGTTGCAGAACTCTGATTTTGCCTGAAGTGATAAAATATCATCAACACAGAATAGTTCTTACCCCTTAGCTCCCCACTGCAAATACAACGTCGAAGCACTATTAGCTTGCCCTTATTTTTTTCCAGTTACACAACTTGGAAGATTTTCCTAAACCAATGAAAGCAAAGCCATTGGCTATTGCCTGCACTTGCCTCGCTACCCCTCGTAAAATAAGTTGTGGATACAGCTGGGATGCGCAGTAAAGAACTACATTCTTAAACACTACTTAGTTGGTCTCCTGTCTGCAGAAAAATGAAGCATTAAACTGAACAGTTCGTAATACAATGGCTTATGAGGAAGGGAAGATCATCGTGCTCTTTAATACTTTCAAGAGAATCCTTTTGACCAAGGCTTGTGAGAAGAAGGCTTGGGCAGGGTGCTTAGGAAAACATCACCCTATCAGTTTCAACTTATCATCATTTTCAAAATGTTTTTTCTAATTTTTACCATGTTTATTTATTATAATTTATATTTATATTATATCATATAATATACATAATATCATAATATATATTATAATACATAATATTTTATTATATAAAAATATATTATTAATTATAATTTATATATATATAATATATAAAATATATTATATATTACAATATTATATATTACATAATATAATATATAATATATATTATTATACATTTTAGTATTATGATATTATATGTTATATATATTATATATATTTATTTTTACGGTATTATTTATATTATTATTTATAGTTACATTATGGTAATTAATATTCAAGTTTACATATATTTATTACTTATTACTTTATTGTATTTAAAATTAAAAAAAAAACAACAAACAAACAAAAAACCTTTAAGTTTTAATTGAGTTAGATTTTGAAACAACCAAGTTTAACTACTGAAATACTCTTTGAGATACCATCACATCTCTTCTTAAAAAAAAAAAAATAAAAAAACCAACAGAAGTTTGTAGTACACAGCATATGAGCAGGACTTCATGCTGACCTGTGTGAAAATCATGTCCTGTATTTTCAATTTAAATTGTGTAACTGCCTTGATGTTTGTTAAAGACCAGACATGCTGCTCTACTGCTAGACACTCAAACTTTCTAACTTTATGAAATCTTAATTTATAAATAAATTTATAGATTGATGAAATCGTAATTATACAAAGTTTTAACTCAGTGTAAGAAAGGTTGTGTTACAAGTATTCCATTGTCCATTTGAAACACTAAAATTGACCGAGGCCCATACAGTCAATCAGCTGACAGCAAAGCCTGCTGCGCTGGCTGCTGCTTTCAGTTAGAAAACCCTTCCAGCACTCCTGTAACCTGTTCTCTGATGCAACCGATTTAGGGGTCTACATCCAGGGACTGTTCTTGGATGGAGCACGCTGGAACCAAGAAACTAAAAAGCTAGGAGAATCTCATCCGAAAATCCTCTACGATACGGTGCCTGTGGTGAGTGTGTACTACGCTTTGTAACATTTCTATACTATTATATGTGAACAAATCCTGTGGATTAAATACCTAAGTGGCTCCCTTTAAGGGAGCAACAGGCTAACTCAAAAGTTTGTAGCATCTCTAAGTAACAGCGGTACGTTTGGCATAGCAGATTGCTACCTTGAACAAAATCAGCAAAGACAAGATGCAACAAAAAGCAAGTTCTCAGGCTCATCTGTGAAAAAGCCAGCACCACTCTCAAAAATACTTAGGTCCAACTGAGAATGTTTCCCACCGTCCCGCACCCCCCTTTAAAATAAATAAATAAATAAATAGTGACAAGGATTATTCTTTGCTGCAGATATGGTTAAAGCCCTGTAAGAAAGCAGACATTCCACAACGACCCAGTTACCTGGCTCCAGTGTGCAACACCAGCGAGAGAAGAGGAATCCTGTCAACCACCGGCCATTCCACCAGCTTTGTCATTGCGATGACCCTTCCTTCCTATAAACAGCAAGAACACTGGATCAAACGGGGGGTGGCGTTATTATGTCAGCTTAATTTATGAACTTACCGCCATTATTGAGGGTTCCGTTCCTAGATGCCCCATGAGGAACACATATCAGTTCTGTATGTCCATAATATCAATATGTATGAAAGTATTCATGAAAAAGTGAAAAACATTTTGCACGTTGCAATTTGTGACGTATAAAATACAAGATTGTGCAATAAAACCTCATGAAAGCCAACAAGAACATCTGCTCCTTTAATAATTTTATTTTTTTGAAGGCTCCTTATTTATAAGGAACATACATAAAAATGAACACAACACTGTTGACAATGAACAGTACAGCATTTGACCTTTTCCAGCTTTCTAAAATTAAAAAAAAATAATGATAACAAAAAGACTGATAGCTAAGCTGTATCTTATAGGACCATAATCACATTAGAAACCATAGACTGGAGGGGATTTTTTTATTCAAAAAAAATATCACAGTGCATCTAGCAACAACAGTATTTCTAAGTGTAATCACAGCAGATCGAGTGCAATGTGATCTACATCAAAATTCATATGGGATGCCACACAGTGACAGCATTTTAATATACAACTAACACACCCTCCAACAAATAAAAGTTAGATGAGACTCTGGATTTGGCGGAGTGGAATGTATAAACCAAGCAGAAATGTAGTGGAATTCAGATCGGCTGTAACGTGACTTAAAACTGTACATAAGAACAATTTGAATTGCAGTCCTGGTGGAAAATCTACCAACGAAGTCACGGTGTTACGCTGCCCTTTGTAACTTGTAATAAATATCACAAAATGAAAGACAAGCAACATACGTATTTAAGGAAAAAAATCCAGTACCTGCCTTGAGAGATCATATTTTCCCTTGTCTGAAGACTGTCTTGAAAGCAAGTTGAGTATTTTCCTATGTAGGCAGTGTATGAAGCTAAAACCATACTCCAACTAAGACAAAGGAAATATACTACCTGAAATAAACAATTTTTCATTTGAAACATATGAAAAGAAATAAACTTACTTAAAAAAAAAAAAAATTGACAAAAGCTTCAGTTAGACCACAAGGCCCCCTTTACACTCGACAGAGTTAACAAAAAATTAAGGGTCAGTTCAGTACATAGGCAACATAAGTTATCGAAGCTAAGATCCTCAGTAATTATCCCGTGACTCAAGTCTCTGCATACGCAGAGATAGAATAAGATACATACATATATATATGCCTGCTGCTTAAGACTTGTGCAGTGCTAAAAGTGTACTCAGGTTCCTTGCATAGGTACGATTTTCAGCTGTAAAATTTTCTGGGTTCTGGTAAACAATGTAAGAAATGCTTTTTTCCCCCGAAGCGTTTACATCCTTCGCTGTCTTTTTTTAATATAAGCAAGCAGCACACTGAACTTGGCATTTATTTCTGGAATTTACTATTTCCCAATTGCCACTTAATGGACTTTACAAGATGCGTTCGGTCATCTCATCTGATTTGAATTGGAAAAATGCAGCAGGTAACACATACAGAAATGAATGGGTTGTACTTGCGTAAGTAGTGCAAGCCGCTGCTTTTCCTCTAAGCTATGTGCATACAGTGAAACAGTGCAGACTCGAAGCCGTACAGTAATAACAGCGTATCCACAGCAAAACCCGGGATATGGTCAAAGCTGGATGTTAAGCACAATGTTATCTTCGTAGACGGCAATCACCAGCATGATGGCAAATCCAAGAAGCAGACCTAGATTCTGCAGAATGAACTGCCCTACCAGACAATAACCGTGCTCTTCGTTATCTCCGTCTCCGTGAAGCATTTCCGGAAGCTAAAAAGAAATCCAATGAAAAAAAGGTTATTTCACCTCTGTTTTATGTAATCACTGACAAAGTTACAAGACAATATTTATCGATAAAGAATAAGAAATTGAGTTTTCAGTTATAAAAAGAAGCCTCAATACATACATAAAACTAGACACAACCACTGTATTTTAGAAAAACGGTCTCAAACACATCATGTATTCACTAGACAAAGTGAACACTCTTCTCCACCGGGCGCTTCTACAGCTCTTCCTGGATCGCGCATCTAGCTGAAATTCCAGTATCAAGGGCCAGTCTAGTATTCTTTCAGTCTGCTCTCTCAAGTTTGTTTCCTCAATTAAAGCTAGCCACGTGGCTCTAAAGACTTGGTCAATTAACTCAGCCCTTTGTATTGTTATATGCCTTATGTATATTCACACGTGTCTGAGAACAGTGAGGTTCATCATGCATGCCACAGGTAATTCAGGAGGAATTTCACAGATGTCTATAGAAAGTTCTGGAAGCTGTGCCTGTTCCTCAGCTACAAAGAAAACATGAAATAGTACTGACAACAGTGCTAAATAAATGCAGATGTGGAAGATGTGAAAATAAATCTTCCGCAGCGCCTTACAGGACCACCCAGGCAAGACAAAAATAACTGAAAGGATTTCCTTCGTTTACCTTCTTGACCTTTTTGTCAATTCATTTCTTTGTAGACCATTTCGAGAATAAAACAAAACATAACATAGATCAAACAGAAACTTCAGTCAGTAGAGAGCAGAAGTCTCTATTGTAGCTCTTCATAAAATAGGCTATAACTGTTCTGGTTATTCCAAATATCTGAGTATGGTACAACAAACATAAACAAATAATCAGACCACCAGATCAGCTAAGAAGATTAACATACTGCCTGTTTGGTCTTGCCTGATCGTATTTCACAAAGATACATAAACTGGCAATTCCAAAATTTAAACGTAAAAAAATACACAACAGTATGAAAATTGCTCATCTCTGCTATAGACTACTGAACTTCTCAATTTATAGGCTCCCAATATGACCGATTTCAGTGACTGGGCATTAAGACTAGTCCTATCAATGCGAACATGTCTCTCAGTTGAAAATTTATAGTTTCTTGCATAGACGTGAGAAAAAAAAATACATTTTTAAATTAAAATACGTATGCTATAAAACTATATAATATTATAAATTATATACGTAATTAATTCATAAATACATAATATAAAAGTATGAAATAAATATAGTTTTCCAGTAAGAACAGAATTCAAAAGTGATTTCCACATAAGTGACAGCAGAAGGTCATGGAGAGCCTTAAGCATTTAAGATTTCCTGAGTTCAGTTCAGGTTCTCCCTCCTCTCAACTAGGAGAAAACTATATTTTAGCTATATTTCTATATTGCTCATCAGATGAACTTCCACCATACACAAGAATACCAGAAGGTCAGTCGCCCCTTAGCGGGCCTCAGCTGAGCTGCAAAACAATTAAATTCTGTTCCTATTAGGTGTCAGAGGACAGGGATTTAAAGAGGAAGGCAGATTAAGGAGTTGTAAGAACTCGGTACAGTTTCAGGTGTATCACACAGAGGCACTCCCGCTCTTGTTTATAGTCAGAGTATATTGAATGCTAGTGTGCCTAAGGAAATGGACCAAGAATAAAAATACTGCAGAATGAAAATACTGCCTTCCTTTATACATTCTGTCTTCAGTCAAAGTACATAAAGCAAAAAAAAATACAGGCACAGAACTTACAGGAAACTAGCTGGTATCCAGTAACTATAGGCTATCGCAGAACATCTATATTCACACGAGGAGTTTTTCTCTACTATGCAGCCATTCGCCTCAGCAAGACCTGAAAAGGACTGACCGACTTAATTTATAATAGCAAATTCAACACTGGGGCATATTGACTAATTAAAGCTCTCTATAACAAAAGAGATAGCCCATTTTTGGCTGCCTTAACACAGACAGAAAAAAATACAGCGATGATCAGCTTTCATGAGTCCCGGTCCGAAAGGTTCTAACGGCAGCAGGACTATCGCAGGACCTCCGTAACCAAAGCTGAGTTTAAAGGCGAGAAGCCTTTAAGTTAAGTTTCCCCAGCGTGGCAGTAATGGCAGAGGTAAGATTGCTGAGCAAGACAGATCCTGCCAATACTAGGAAATTCAGTAGAAACCAAACCCTTTCTTTCAGCTGTCTTCACTAATGCTTCAAGGATACCAGCAAGGCAGAGAAACCTGACAAGGAACTTGGAGCTGCTGGCCACAGGGGAGAGGAGTTTTCAGAGTGTCAGCTGCTTTGGTTTGCACCAGGGAAACAGAAAAATCAAAATCGTCTTACCATATCGACCAACGCCACATAGAGGAACATGTCTGCAGTGACTGTGAAGATCCACAGGGTGATGTTATTCGCATACTGTCCCACCGCTGTGCCAATCAGCATGCCTATGTAAGCCATCATGGTGTGCTCTTGCAGCCCAGAAGGCCAACTGTGTTCCAGGCTGCATTAAAAAAAGGGTGGCCAGCATGGAGAGGGAAGTGATCGTCCCCCTCTACTTGGCTCTTGTGAGGCCCCATCTGGAGCACTGCGTCCAGGCATGGGGCCCCCGGTACAGGAACGATGTGGAGCTCTTGGAGCGTGTTCGGAGGAAGGACCAGTAAGATGATCAGAGGGCTGGAGCTCCTCTCCTACGAGGAAAGGTTGAGGGAACTGGGCTTGTTTTTAAGCTTGGAGAAGAGAAGGCCTCGGGGAGACCTCGTTGCAGCCTTCCAGTACCTGAAGGGAATAAACAAGAGGGGTAACAACTGTTTACATGGGTGGATAGTGATAGGACAAGGAGGAATGGTTTTAAACTGAGACAGGGGAGCTTGAGGTTAGATACTAGGAGGACGTTTGTCCACACAAAGGGTGGTTAAGTGCTACAACAGGACACCCGAGGAGGTTGAGGACCCCCCATTCCTGGAGGCATTCAAGGCTGGGCTGGATGTGGCTCTGGACAGCCTGGTCTGGTGGCTGGGAGTAGCAGGGGGGTTGAAACAAGATGATCATTGTGGTCCTTTTCAACCCAGACCGTTCTATGACTCCACGATTCTATGCTAGAGGGGCTCAAAAGAAGACTAGACAGCAGGAAACGAAAACTCTAGTAACACCTCTGTGTGCAGCAACGCCTTGCTTAAAATACTATTTAAAGGTAATGATTCATCACATTAATCTGGCACCAGTTCAGGCTACGGACAAAAAAAAAAAAAAGCCAAGAGCTCCTCTCTCGAGCTGCTCTTTTGTAAATCTTGGGATGCGCTCATATTTCACGTGATGTACCTTGTGGCTGATGCATCACGATAAGCCAGCACCCGAGAAAAAATGCTTCAGTTACAGGCAAGAGTCAAAGGCATCAGCAACGATGCTCACAGGCTTTAGCCAAATAGCCATTCAAATCGACCGGACTTGGTGATAATTGGCACATCTGGACATCTACACAAAGACTTCTACTTAATCATTTAGTTTTCTGCAATACGTCATATGCTATATAACATTTTTGAAGACAACACAATAGCCTCTGCACAAAATGGCAGAGGTGTAACACAAAAAAAATGTACCCTCTGTACTCCCAAATACCTTTGTGAGCGTCCTGAAAATACTTCACAGAACGCTATTGCTAGATGCCTGCCAAACACACCTCGACAGTCTCATTACGTATGCTGAAACAATACTGCTCAATCACTCTGCAAAGGTCTGGTCACCCTCGCTGCAACTGCACCTATCCAGCAGCTACTGGGAGGAGTGTCACAACAGAATTTACACACACACATTCACTCAGCCTTGTTTGTACCAAGTACTGGTTTTATAAAATTCATTACCTAATTCATGGGGCAGCTCGTGACAAAATACTGCTATAGATGTACTAATCCCTCCTGTCAGACCAGCACTAAAAGCTGCTCCTGAAAGAAAAAAGAAAAAAAAGTTACAAACGCTATGTTACTATATAATCAATGAATGTACAGATGTTATAATTATGAAATATACCACAGTGTTTGGCTAAGCAGTTAATATACCAAAAGAGAACAGATAGAATGCTTACGTGTATCCTGGGCTTGCCATGGAACTCCAGAGAAGGGGATCTCCAGAAGGGATCCCTCCCTGCTGGCAGTCAGCTCTTAAATGGGTCTAGGAGAGGTAGAGCCAGGCTCCACCCCTTCCTGCAGCACAGATGAATTGCCTTCACCTGTGCTCCCATGGTTGACTCATTGCTCTCCTCAGGTGATCAATCAGAGGTGCAGGCCTTGATTCAGTAACTCCCACACACACACTCAAGATAGTAATTTCTAATAAAGCAAAAATTTCTGAGAAGAGCAGTTTATTCATTATTGCAACTGTGGGTGCAAACCCCCTAATGACAAGGGAGAAATTGCACAACTAGTCAGTGAAATCCATGCCGTTACATACCCTGGGTCCAAAGCAGCTAAAGCCTTTCCTGGAGCTCGTTGCCTGAGTGTCTCAGGCTCACCAACTTTCCTTGCAGTTGGTACCTTACGTTTCCATACAGTATCTGTTTCCAACGCATTGTTTTTAGGTATGTTCTGTACTCTTTATGGCAACGGGAGGCCAATATTCTCAAAAATTAGCATGCTTCTTCTGCCCTGTACCAGACTCTCCCCTACCCTACATAATTACATTAACTAGTGCCTATGCCAATTATACTTAAGTCCGAATGCCCCAGTCTTCACCTGATTCTGTTTGGGAGCTTTCTTTGTGAAAGGCAACTTAACCTATGCTACATACAGAAATGCTGGAAACCTCCACTGCAATAACACAATCTACCTCTCATGTGTCTTCAGGGCAGCCTTAAGAATGCTGTTACAGCATTCAATAAGGCTTGCCCTGTACAATTACATGACAAAAGGAATTGACACTCAGCGTTCTTTTCTTCTGCCCAGCATTGTACCATTACACCAGTAAAACAAGTCTCCAGGTCGCTCTCGATGACTTGAGGTGTCCTGCTTGTAGCCAGCCATCAACCTGGGGAGCATCTTGATGATATATGCCTGGTTTGCTCTTAGTGCTGGATAGGCCTGCGTTAGTCCACTTGCTGTGTCAACTCAGGTCAGGTCTCATTTCACCCCCTCAGACTGAGGGAAGGCCCAGTGTAATCAATCTGCCATCGCTGGAGAGGATTGCTACCTCCGTTGGGGTGCTCCTTCAGGCAATATTCTTGCCTTCTTCTAGGAGACAAGCACCACCATCTCAGCATCCCAGGATGATATCAGGCTAGCCTGGGCCTGTTTAACAGCCAGCTCTGCTTGCTGGAACGCCTCTTGTTCCTTCTCCCCCAGTCCCATTTTTGGCCTTTCTTTGTGAGTCAATACAAAGGCTTCAACAGCTGTGCTAGGTGGATTATAAAGGAATGCCAGTAACCCAATATAATACACCCAAATTCTTGCTACTTACTTGGCATGTTAGGGACCTTGAATTCCTCACTTTTTTTCTATTACATCACTGGTAGCAAGGGTCTTATTGTAGCATGAGGTCCATAATTCCCACCAGAAACTTAAGCATATCTGGAATCTTCAATGGGTCACCATAAATGGCCTCCTTCATGCCTATCTCTCTGATCCTATTTTGGCATACTTCCACTGAGGTCCACAAACTGGTATTTATTGGCACATAACTCCTGTTAGGCCATGCGATTCTACACGCTGCCATAGTTTACAGTATTAAAGAATGGTTTTTGTTACTCCATATTACCATCACATATAGTCTGTCTGAGGGCCGGATGCGTGGTAACAGATGCAAGTTGGGAAATCTTGAGTCCATTAATTACCACTCTTTCAGCCCCCTCATCCCATCATCTCAAAAGCCAGGCTGGTATCTTCTCTTATGGTCTTCGTTGAAGTTACAGCAAACTGTGGTAGAAAATCCATTAGTTCAGTGGCTGCACATGGGCACGCTGTTACACGTAGTGCTTGGTGAACAGGGGGGGGTCACTCTTTATGTGACAACCCTGCTGGTCTATCCTGGGTTTTTCCCCTGTCTTTTGAGTTAGTACCTGTCCTGTTTCGAGAGCATCTGGGAATCTAGAGAATCATGAAGGGCTGTCACATGAAAAGTGACCCCCCTGCCCACACCGCACCACGTGTAACAGCTGAGATTCCCAGATCCTCTATGTGGATTTCAGTTTGCTCGCCCTTCTTTTACTTCACAGACTCAATTAGATCAGTAGGAGCCCTGGATCTTAAGTTATCCTTTCCCCCTTCTAACAATACGGTCAGAATTTCAAATAAGTTCCATTTGAAAGTGTAGCAGTTCACCATAGATGAAAAAAGATGAAATTTTATTTCCCAGTTGCCAAACCTGAGGCTTTGAAAGCTCATTTTTATCATTTAACTATTCCTCACAGGAATGACATTTCTAAAGACTGAGTAGCAGCAGACAGACTACAGCAAATGCTGCTGCTACTCTTCCCTTGCTCACTAAAAAATTTTGAGCAATTTTATTTTTCAAGTCAGCTATTTCTGAAAGGGATTTAATAATGGGACCATTGTACCTTATAGGTCCCTGTTCTTCAATAACTCGTACCAAACCTAACAATGGAGGACCCAAGAACCCCGGGGTTTTCCCTTGGAGATACTCCATCAGAGTATTTGGCATCCCAGTAACCATCCACTAGTTTTTTTGTTTGTTAAGGAAATCCTTTTTAAGTATCTGACTAGCTGACCAAATATAGTGCTATAATGCTACAATGTGATAGAAAGAACAGCAATAACCTCAGTGTAGCACAATTCTAGATTGCAGCAAACTAGAACAAGCCCAAATGTAGCAACAGCGGATACAGAAACAAAGGAAGAAAATCTCCTTACCTTCTGAAGCCTGCAGCTATGTGAAGAACTGCAGTGAAATGCCTTTACCTCTACTGTGAGAACTTAAAAGAGGTCTGGGAAGGGGTGGATCCTGGCTCCAGCCCCTCCTTTCACTCAGATACATTGCTTACACATGAGCTCCCCTGCATTGGCCCCACTTTCCCACCAGGTGCTCAATCACTGCTTCAGGTCGTGGCTGAGCACAGCTTGACAGCGCAGACAGGCCAGGCATATCTGGAAGCAGCTCACACAGTTCAATGCAGATATGCTTTCAGGGCTATTTAAAGTGGTCTGATAAAGAGTGCGTGTGGAGCTGGCAGGTTTGGGGAACTGTGTAGGTGTGCTTAGCTGTGTTTGAGGTCTGATGCTGTCTGGAAGCACAGCCGGAGCATCTTTGGTGTTTGCATCGCCAAACGGCAGCAGACACTGAGGAAGGAAAGCAGGGGACATCTATGCACTCAGAAATGGCTGACCTTTAAATTTAATCTGCCAGCTTCTCGCACTGCTTCTCCCAAAGACTGAAAGACCTGCGTTTCACGTTATGCATTTATTTGTCATATTTGTCGTTAGTTACAAGTAAAAACATTGGAAATCCACTGTAGTTAATACAAAATAGAAATAAAGCCACATGAGTTATGCCTTACTTTTTCCTTGCAAACATTATCTCCTAGATGACGCTGTATACATCAGAGCTTAACTTCTAACAGTACTTGCCTACAGTAAGCTCTTAGCAACTAATTTCCAGCGTGATTTGCTGGTCACAGATATCACCCTCGTGGAGCAGTATCTGCTAAACATGTCACAATGGCGTTTTATGCTGTAGTTTTTATTTCCCCTGTAACTGGTGATGCTAAATACAAGTTGAAGGAAGCAACCTTTTAGTGCAGTGTTAAGCATCGGTAGAATTATATTTGTATGTATATAAAAAAATAACCCAATGCATGAACAAACAAGGATGTAAGGTGACCGTTGCGGGTGCTGTGCTTCCCTTTCTTCGCCTTTGTGAAGTGACAGGAATGAACGTTCATAGCGAACGGGCTCCTCTGGAGCCTCTCATTTTGCACAAATTTTGAAAAATTAGGCATCTGATTTTTGGAGGTGATCCCAAGCTAAGTTATTGACAGAGAATCAAACCTCATGCCTTTGCAGACTCGTTCCTATGTAAACTCATGCCTGTCATCATATTCAGTCCCTAATGCAGTTTGCCCTTGAGGCATGCCTAAAAAAGCATTCTCACCTTTTTAAAGTACTGCCCTTACATCCCTGTTGTTACCTAACTCTTTTGTGTAGATATAACTCTATATATGAAATAATCTTTAAAAAGATAAGTTATACTGTTTCCAAAATACTCTGACATACAAAGTTGTGCAGGTGCAAAGTTTGATAGTGTTTTGTTACAAGGATTAAGAATTAATTAATTAGTGTTATCTGAGTATATATTCTTTAAGCTGGAAGCATAGATTTAATATAGTGGGCCTTTATTTTTGCTCCCATCCCCCTTTTTCCTTAACGTTTCATAGCGTTTCATACTTCCTTCAGACTATCTCTATGTTTCTAATAACCCTAACCCTATCAAACTCCTCTCTCTCTTTTTTTAACTATTTCCAATCCATTAAAGGTACAGCAGTTGATTACACGTTCATGCTTGTCGCTAACGTCTTTCTGTAATTCCGGCAGTTTGAAGTATATCTTTTCATTTCCATATAAACACGGTCATTTCTTCTAAGCCAGAGCCTACTGGCAAAAATCCTGTGCCTGTGGAGACCGATGGAGCCAACGTTTCAGTTTTGCTATGTACTCTGCTCTTTTGGCCTTGCAACATCAGGGAGCAAAGCTCCACACCAGCAGCGCAGGTTTGCAGCTACAGAGGCTGTCAGCGTTCACAGAGCATAGCAAAGAAACCATGCTCAAGTGTTCTCACTGGTATTTCTACGCTCACATACAAAATACTAAATACTCTGAGAGAGGAAAACAGAAGTATTTGGGCATTCTGAAATGATGCAGTAAATTATCATTGCAGAGAGAAGGCTGGAAGAAACCCAAACACCGCTACCACACGTGTAACAGAAACCAGTCATTCACTTAGGCAAAACCGTGGGCATCTGGAAGCTGAAGGACGGCTCTGACGTCTTAGGCTGTTTGGTCTACCTGCAGAACAGCTGCTTGGGTTGTTTCTTCATCGGATTCTTCCATTTCTCCGCTGACTGGTTTGCTCCTTTCATCGTACAGTTTCTGGCTGGAGTCTTCGAGAGGCATCCCGTACTCTTCATCATCCTCAACAATGGACAGCTCAATGTTGTTGTTTGTCACGGCGCTGCTTTCCATCCTGGCTTCTTTCTCCAAAGAATCAATGACGGCTTTGCTCTCCTCAGCCAGAGACGTGGTGGGGGTCATATCTGAGTGCATGTCGGCGAAGGACATCTCCTCCTCGTTCTCGGCCTGGTCGGTGCTTGCCGTGTCTGCCGGTCTGTCTTCGGCTTCAGCGGGACTTTCTCCTTCATGGGATTTCTTCACATTGAACGCGAGCGGAACTTTGAAAGGTGAACTCTTGGAAGAGGAGGATTTCTGATGGTGCACTGTAAGGGATTTCTTAATCTTCTCTCTCCGTTCAGGTGAGACGATCTTTGTGCTGATCTTGTTCATCTTCTTCTCGATGTTTTGTCGGGAGAACGCTTTCTTGAGGCTGTCGACCTTCTTCAGACTGGTCCTTTTAATTTTCTCAGCTCTTGACTCTTCTGCTTTCTCATCTGCGCTGTCGCCCACATCATCTTCATGATGTATGTCATCCTCTGAAGATAATTCCACTGTATGCAAGGTTTCTTCCAGCGTTTTGTTCTCATCCACGGGCTCTTCTTTTCCTTCTGTAATGCTGGGAATAGGCTCCTTTGCAAAAACACTGGCAGGGATCTCATTTTCCTCCTGAAAGAAATGACAATATTTGAGTTTCATAGTTCACAGATTTAATAAATAAACCATAACCCTGAACAACTACTTTTTTTTTTTTTTTAATATATAAATTCCAACAGTGAGAGGAAGGATGCTGAACATCTCTTGTTGTTTCAGCATATTTAACCAGTAACAAGCCACTCAAAGCCCACTGAGCCATTATCTGGTAACAGTTTAAGACTAATGAGCTGTCAACTGTAAGATTTCTCTTTCAGAAGGACTTGGAATGTATACAGAATGGAAATTCCATTATTTGTCATTTAAATTAGCTTCTCTTTTAAACACTTCAGAGGTTGTACATTGATCCCTGTGAAGAAGGGGTGATATCATGGCTACGGATGCCTTGGTGCAGACAGATCACTTGTGTTGGCCTCGTTCCCAACTAGAAGCAAAGACAGTGAAGCTTCTTGAATAACACTGGACTTAGTATGGTGAGTAAAGCACAACCCACCATTTATTCTTCTCCTTTCTACGATCACAGTGATCTGAATATTACTTTGGGGAGTTAAGGGAGCGAAGTTTTGCCCACTGGATGCATAGTAAGATTTATTACTCCCTGCCTAACCCTACTTCCTTTGGATGGCCTCAGGTCTTTGGAAAGACCCAAGGGGAAGAGTTGTTTGTGTGGGGTTGGCCAAAAACACTGATGCTAGTGTTGATATGCCTAAAACACACCTTAAAGGCCTCTGTGCTACACAGATGACTGCTCAGGCACTGAGAATGCTTCTTTGTCTTCAAGGAGAGAGAACCAGGGAGTCTGGGGAAAATCCGTAGACCTTTCCTCTCCCATCCGTCTTTCTGTAGAGTGAGCCATGTGGCCCAGGATATTTAGAATGCATGCTGTTCTACAACTATTTAGAGCACAGAAGAAAAAAAAAAATAAAGGGAAATTTTCTTAGTGTACTGGGAATTG